ATATATACATATATATGTATATATTTATATACCTCAAAATTCTTTGTCCTCTTGCTTTGGTGTGTTTAATTGAATGCGTTTTAATTACATTAGAAATCTCAACCAAAAGTAAAGCAATGAAAAAAGAAGAAGAARAAAACTACAACTGGACATGACACCGACTACATGGATACGCTACAAACCCCGAACTGACGACTGCTGTCACTTGAATCTTTATAAACATTTTCTGTTTGGTTTTTCTTTCTGTTGCTGTGGGTGTGGCTTGTACTGTATAGATATATATTTATATATATATATACTTATTTTGTACTGCAAAATTTGTAATTCGTAAAGCTCTGCGAGTTAATCTCAGTAACTCTCGAAAGAAAAAAACACATCAAAATCTGTTTCAAAATCAATATAATTTTGTTATTGAATAAATTTATATATTCATTTATATATATAACTATTACAACTAATCTGATGATATAATTTTTGTGAAACTTTTTTATTTAAATTTTGGAAATTTTCCTCATCATATTTAGAATTGAATTCTTACGTTTATTATTATTTTTCTGATTATCATTTCTGTTCCTTATGGCAAAGAAGCTGCAAATAAAAGTTTAATTTTTTCGTTATTTAAACATAAGTGAAATAATAAAAAATAAAAACAAACATACTGAAATAAAATAAAATACATATAGAGAAAAATTAAGAAATCCAAATTGAGAAATGAGAAAGTAAATTTGCGGTACGTAAGAGCCAAGCAGCTATACATTTATTGTTAAACAAAATAATTAGCTTAGCTTATAAATTACCATTTAATATATAATACATATAGGTAACTGAAAAACAAAAAACCAGAAAAACTAAATAAAAAAGAAAAACAAAAGAAAATTTGATTATGTTCAAGTTGTGTTTGGAATTTTGTTGAATTTACTATAAATTTGTTTCATCAAATTTTTTATTTTTTTTACTTTCTTTGGTTATTTTTGTACAACGAAACCGCAGCTCGATAATTTTGTATTGGACAACTCGAATAGATCACTGAGAGAACAACTACATGTCTAAATGTACATAACAATAATTTACAACAACAACAACAAAATAAAAACCAAARCCTAAATGCGACTAAACTCTTAGCATATAAGTAGCTTAGGACTATGAACTAATGGAGTTTCCAGAAATTCGCTGGAAACATTTTAGAACATTAACCTCTACCATATAGAGTACTTCCAGCATATGCCCATTTATCAGAGACGATTTCTGTTTCACCTTCGATTCATGCATTGCAATTCTTATGAAACTCACACGCAGACACCTAATAAACACACAGAATTAAGAATAGCTTTCAGAAAGTGCGCTAAACAGATTTAAATGCTTACATAACCATTTATTATACATAGTAATAGATATAGATATATATATATACATATACATATATACCTATATAAAGGCAATACGAGATATTATAAACGCAAAACGTACCAAATAAGTTAGTGAAAGAAAAAAAAAACTGCTCAAGTTAAGAAAGCGAATAAGCAAGTAAAACCAATATACTCCCCGTTACACTTGGTGAACGAGTATCTGGGGGTCAAACGTATTGTACCACACACACACTCTCACACTCATACACACACATACACTCAGAACATACACAAAAAAGAGAAAACGCTTTGTTGGCTAGTCCCGTAACCAGGTAGTTAGACAGTCGGTTAGAGTTTAGCTAGAGTTGGATGAGTATTCGCAGGTTGGTCTACTGATTAGAACCAGAACAAATATCGAACAATTTGCTCCTGTTGTGCAATTCTTTGTTAACTGCTCTGTTTGTTATACAAAATAAAAAAAAATAATGTTGAGAGTAAAGTTGAGGTTGTCGTTAAGATTGGAAAATAGAGAGGAAAGGTTAGAGTGGGAGTGGGATAGGGCGAGAGAGCGCAAGGATAACCAGTAACAAGATTAGGCATAGAATATGGGAAATAAAAAAAAAACAAAAACCAAACAAATATAAGACCCTTGAGGGGTAATATGTTATACAATATTATTATTACATCATGATTAATCTAATGATAAAACGCATCGTAATTATAATTATACAACAACAACAACTCGAACAAACAGCACGCAAAGTACTCGTAATATTGATAAAAATGAGATAAAGACAAAGACGGAGTTTTTACCGACGAGAATTACGATATTGATAATTATGATGATATAAAAACAAAAAACAAAAAAAAAAAAAAAAAGGAAAAAAAAAAAAAAAATAAATAAAATGTATTTATTTATTTTAATTTATATATACACTAGAGAGTTATTACAAATATATATATACATAATGTATAAGGCAAAAAAAA